GTGTGCGGCAGATGGTTTTGCCCCACAAGGGATATTTGGCAATGTCTGCAAACATTATTTGGTTGTCACAACTGGTAAGGGTGCTTTTGCCATCTAGGGAGTAGAGGCCAGGCGTGCTGCTAAATAAGCTACATGGGACAACCCCCCAACAAAGAATTATCTGGCCCCAAAAGTCAGTAGTGCTGAGGTTGAGAAATCCTGATCCACAATGACTCTTGTGTTGTCCGGTCTTAAGGTCTTTTATTCCTCTCCTAGAAAGACTTTTTAACCCTGTTCTTATTGCAGACTACTTAGAAAAAGTGTATGCTTTCCTCCTAGTTGTATTGGCCTTCTCGGGTATTCTTCAGCGGGTCCTCTTTGCAGATAATGGGAGCCATTACTATGTTAGATTTTAGTAAGGCTGGGAGGAAAAGATATGCCCATCTACTCAGCTGCTGGAGTTTCAGATGGGATTATGATTCTTTTCCTTTTTGTAATTCAGAGCTCTCTCGATGCACCCAGCTCCCTTTTCTCCTTCGATTTTCAGGACACTCATGTCTGCATATTAGTCATCTGTACTCTTCTCTCCTTTATTTGTATGATAGTCTTACTTTCACCTCACTTTCTTCAGTAACTTATCGTGGCATTAAAAACTACCTTGTCAATATATTCCTTTAAATTTTTTTGCGAAAGATGCTTCTTGCAGCTCTACCACTGTTAGTAAGCTCCTAGATAATTCCAGCTCCCTAGCTCCTTCAGGTATACCAGTCTCTATCCCAAGGGAAAGACTTTCTCCATTTTTTTCCTAAGCCCTTTTCAAGTCCTGGAGATGCCGCATACATGGCCAAAATTCTCCTTTTTTCACCTTTTTCTCTCTAAGGAAATAGCAACTTGCCCTGGAAGTTTGTAAATATAAAAAAAGTTCCTTTGCTGCTCATTCTTGAATTATCAAATCAGATTTGTCTTCAAAAGTTTTCTTGCATCAGGAAATAAATGTATACCAGGTGAAATTTACTGACTGGTTGTAGCTTTAATAACCGTTTTTGATCATGTGCCTTATATGTGCCTCTTAGAAACACATCCATTTAACTACCACGTAGCACTTAACATCTTAGTCAAAAAATTCACCAACCTCTGAACTGTCCAAGATCAAGTCTAAGTAATTAAATTATGGATAAAAGCACTTGGCTTTAGTTCATCCTAAACTTTTAATGATCAAATATGTATAATTCTTTCAAGAGTATTTTATAGATCTGGCTCCTAAAAAGGATCCTAAAAGGGCTCCAGGAAACTTTCTTGATCTGTTCATTTCAGAATTCCTCTGCTTTGTTCTAAAAAGGATTTAAAACAGTTTGTAATGTAGATTATAACAAAAAACAGTAAAACAGAACTTAAAAGTGGAAGCAAGAGAAAAATGAAAAAGGCGGTGATGGATATAAAGTGGGGCCAGGGAAAGCATAGCATGGTAATCTGAAACTTGCTAGGCCGTAAACTTGGCTCTGACTGAGCTCTGTAGTCATTGATATTGGGTAACAGAATTCATAAGATAAAACAAACTCATTGCTCAGAAGTAAAGAAAGTTTCCTGGACAATATCTTGGTAATCATGGTTTCTTGGGACTTTATTTTACCTATCTTCAATGTGGACTGTTGCTATTGTATCAAAGTATAAATCAGCAAAAGCAATTCTTAAGTTGTCAGTACAGTGTAGTCCAGGTACTCAGGTCTCTGCTGCTCTAAATTAACCAGGGTTAGATTTATAACATCTGGAGGAATGGATGACTTCTGTGCACTTTGAGCAGTTCTGTCTAAATATTCTGTCTCTCATTTCAATTTTTAACAGTAGTAGTAATGAGTTAAAGATTATACTACCTAAGAAGTATCAGAGTACAGCTATTTTGTGTTGCAGATTGAGTTGAGAACATATTTTTAAGAGATAGTTGATCTTAAAAGTAGAAGCAAAAGGAAAATGAAAAGTAAAGATTGATCTGTGATAGGCTAAGAATTCTGTTGCGAAACCCAAGGAACATTATGAGGACTCCTTCCAGAATGTGGGCTGAACAAGTATCCACGATTGAAACTTTGAGTAGTGCTCCTAGTTTTGAGCAATGCTCCTTCCTTATGTACTCTTCAAGATAAACCATTTGTGGTAATTAAGCACAGTAAGCTAACTACATGTGGCAACTTATGTGATTGTTATATTTACAGTTAAAGATTGGCGAATAACTACCAGAAACAAAATATAAGTTTGAGAAGGTTCATAGTTGATCTATAATCCTTTCTGGTAATAATTTTTTTCTAGATTTATTGAGATATAATTGACATATAACATTGTGTAAGTTTTGACTGTACCTTTCTGGTAATAATTAACTAGCATTCCAGTTGTCTCCTCAAGCCATTTCTAGTTTAAGGCAGTGAAACATATCCATTTTTAAAAGAATACTCTTTTTTTCTGTTTTCTATATCAAGAGCATGTATCTTATTAAAAAGATGGCAGGTGGGGCACAATCTTATTTCAGACTTATGGAAAATTTTAACTCCTCTGCTACTTTGATTCTCATGGTATTAACATGGTGTAGGTTCTGCATGGACATCAGGCAGAGTAAAATGGTTAAAGGTTGGATGGAGCTCTGGAATAAAATCACACACTTCTACTACTTTCTAGTTATAGAGAGTTTACTTATATCTCTGAACCTTGGTTTCCTCAATTATAGGAAGGAATAATAATAGTACCTCCCTCACATCATTTACACAATGGATTTTATCGTTGTGGAAGAGACAGACCTCAGTTAACTGAGTTCCGTTTCATTTTCCTCTTCCGTGGAACACAGCCTTGACTGTCATGTGATTGGCATAAGTGGTAAAAGAAAGCATTAGACATTTGGGTATGAGTTTGATATGCTGTCACTTTCCTTGCTAAGGAAATCTGAAAGTCATATTTGAGATGGCAGTGACATAAGATAGAAGTAACCTGGAACCACTTCACTGTCACTTCAGGACATCTGCCCTGGAGAATCACCTGACCTGAAGAAGATTTTGCATGAGCAAGAATTAAACCTTTGTTTGTTAAGACACTGGTTTTAAGGATTTACATGTTAGCCTGTAACCAAGCTAACCCATAACCAAATCCTGTTGCAGAGGCAATGACCAAGGAAAGGTTAATAAAAGCTATAAATAATGTAGTGTAGTATACTTGGTAGTGAGTATTTATATAAATGCTTTGTGGTGGAATAACTCAACTAAAGCCTAGTAGCTCCTTATTTAAACATTGATTTGCAAAACCCCAACTTGGAGTTTTTAGATAAAATGTGCAATAAACTGAAAAGTTTGGCGGGACTGAGGACATATGGGGAGTAAA